CCCCCCCCCCTACAATCCCTGCCAGTACGAGACTCGAACCCACAACCTTTGAGTTACGAGTCCGACTCTCTAACCCCAAAAAATTCAGGGGAGAGCGCGAACACAGTCCCCCACTACCATAAGTTATGCAGTCGAGATTCCCACATTTGGGGAATTCGCATTCGCAGGGGTCAGCACAACCGGAGTGCAATGGCTGAGCCTCACCCTGGGTGAACCACCTTCTTGATCATGGTGTCTCCCCTGCCAGGTAAGTATGAAATGTAACTTGTGAAATGTCATACAGACACATTTCTGACAGGCTGTTTTTGGGCAGGTGATTTTGCGATCCTGTTGCACTGCGGTCTGTCGGTGAGAAAGGCTCTGCTGCTGAACATGGGCAGCGCTCTCACCTCCTTCATCGGCCTGTACATCGCACTGTCCGTCTCCACTCAAAGCATCGCCGAGGAGTGGATTTCTGCCATCACCGCTGGCTTCTTCCTCTACATCGGCCTCGCAGAGATGGTACGTGTAATACTTTCTGCCTTCTTTTGTAACTCTTCTCATTAACAGAGCAAAACGACACAAAGTAGCTGCCATATTTTGTGCAGATTGTGAGCCTCATCTTCTATATGGTACATGGAAGCCTGTTTGTGCTGCGGAATAAAAAATATTAATAAATTAAAAAAAATTATAAAATATTCCGATTTCTTTTCTCGCAATTCTGAGAAAAAAAAGAAAGAATTGTGAGATATAAAAACTCACAATTCTGACTTTGTTTCCTCAAAATTCCAAGTTGACATCATGCACTTCTGATTTTTGGTTTCTGCCATGCAACAAAAAATAAAAAGGTAATATTTCTTTTCTCACAATTCTGAAAAATTGCAAGATACAAACAAAATAATAAGATATAAACTATAGATAGTGATAGTTCACTCAAAAATGAAAATGTTGGCATATTTTGGAGAATGTTGGTAACCAGTTGACGGTAGCCATTGACTTCCATAGTATTATTTTCCCTTACTATGGAAGTTAATGGCTACCGTCAACTTATCAACATTCTTTAAAGACATTTGTAACAAATTTTCATTTGTGGGTGAACTGTCCCTTCAAGTAAAAACTTGCAAAAATGGTAATTTCCTGCATCTTTCAGAGTGTGTAATGTGAAACATAAACATTTGAAATATCTGTGTAATCCAATGATCTCAAATTCAATTTCTGTTTTTTTTTTGTTGCCTGTCTAGCTTCCATCTATGATTCATGTGGACAGTAAAAAGCCGTGGCTGATATTTCTGCTGCAGAATCTGGGTCTGTTGACTGGATGGGGGATTTTGTTACTCCTGTCTTTATATGAAGATCAGATAGGAATCTAAGAAATGATGCAGGATCGTACTTGTGCATTATCATATTTTCTTCCTTGAACATGTTTATGTGATTGTCATTTAAAGAAAAAATAGTAATAAAATATAAATTAAGAAATTCCTGCACACTTAAGGTTTTTTTTTTAATTATTCATATGTGCCGCCTGTAATTACAGTAGGAGATACCACACAAAACATAAGCATCTAATCAAGGTAGATGTGCGTCTGTGATTAAATTGTATTATACAAATCATTATAAAAGTTAATATATGTTGTTGTTTGGGACTGTTTAGTATACATGTAGTAGGCTATAAATGTATAAATTGACTCTAAAATGTATCTGGATCTGACAAATAAAAAAACAGCACAATAGTGCCCACTACAGGACAGACCGAGCAAATACAACTGCTGTGTTCACCAAATCACCCTGATTCAGCAGAAACAACTCTGGAAAACAGTCTTTATTGTGTATAAAGTTATAAAACACAACATGTGAACATTTAAAAGAGTGACAAACAGCACAAATAAATAAATTCAGACTCTAGCATCGTGAGATCATGTTACCTCGTTCTAATGATCTCCTGTGTAGCTAAACGAATGATCTCATTGAAATCAAACTGAATATATTTCCTCCAGTATCTTCGGTCACGTCCGTACGTCTGCGCTGGATAACACGGACTTCCTGGGGGGGCACAGAAACGCATATTGAAATACCCCCAAATTAAAAACAAAAGACAACAGGTGGAGCGAAATGTCACTAGAAACAAACCGATGCCATGGAAGATTCTGGCCACGGCTCGACCGGAGAACTTCTCATCGCTGCGATTGGACAGGAAGCCTCTGATGTCCGCACAGATCTGAGCCTCCCAGTCCCTCATCTAAGGACACAGTACAACAACAGGATTCAGAGACAGAAATGAGAGTTCACGTCATAAACGAAACTGTGAAAGAGTCACACCTTGCATCTGTTGAGCTCTTCCTCCTCGTCCTCCTCCTCTTCCTCCTGATAGTGTTTGCTCAGGTCCAGGTTTCTCCTCTTGTCGAAATAATGGCGCAGCAGCTCTTTGAGAGCCTGGCTCCTGCTTTCCTCCAGATCATCCATACACAGACTGCAGTTACGGTACGCAACGCTGCACACAAACACAACACACACACTCAGACAGTAAAGGACATAAATGGTTGGAAGAGCTCAGTCATGGTGAGTGTGTGGTGAGACCTGCGGAAGGCTTTGAAGCAGGTTTTGAGCTGGTACAGCTGAGTCCTCTCCTGTGCCATCACTCTGCCGTGCAGAAATGCACAAACCGCGTCCAGCTCGTCCGCCGTCAGGTCACCATATGAGCGGAAATAGAAGGACAGCGCTGAGAACTCCACATGGACACCACTCCGTCCTGTGCCTCCATATGAACCTGACGAGATTTTAATTAGGGCTGTCAGTTTAGTGCGTTAACTAATTAGTTATGAAATACTAACATCATTCAAATATTTCAACACCGTTAACATACTGGCCCCGCCCCCAGACTTGTACATCATCTTACATTTCATACAGTTGACTTGACAAATATGATGCTGGGTAACAACTCCATAAATGCAGTTATGCCCTAAAATTCAAGATAGTGGGGTAAACAAATGCCCCTGTACGATTTTGTTCGTCTAATATATTTATGTCACATGATATGAGCAATATAACATGAGCAGCGAGAGCAATATCACACCGTTTATGTCCGAATAGCACAAGTTCAAATGTGATTTTATACAACAGTTCAGTAAATAAGAAGTTAATGTTATTTTATTTTAAACACAATATTGTGCATTTTTGCTCCATTTTGCTAAAGAAAATATCACCTATAAAGCCACAGCAGAACTGTTGTGCATCTGTGAGCAACATAGCCGTGTTAAGTTTCTGAACGAATCTGCATTTTGAACGAATCGTGTGAACCAATGATTCAGTAGCCCATTCATAAAGAGAGCCGTTTACTTCATTCCTGAATGAATCAGCCGTTTGAACGAATCTAATGAATGAATGACTCATAAAGACATTTACCGCCACCTGCTGGCAGTTTTCGTTTCTTCTTTAGAGTAAAAATAAATACAAATAAATAAAGGGATAGTTCATCAAAACAAGAAATTAAATTAAATTTAAAAAAAAATCTGCCATCATTTCCTCACCCTAATTTAATTTCAAACCTGAATGACGTACTTTCTTTGCGCAACATAAAAGAGGTTTTGGTTACCAGTGACTTTCATTGCATGAACAAAAAATGCTGCGATGTTTCTCAAATTATCTTCTTTTATGTTCCATAGTTTATGTTAGGCCGTTGTAGCCTAAAGGTTTGTGTCTAACAAATGTTTTGTTGAATCAAATAAAATATTTCTTTCTAAGGGTACTATTTGTAATGTCTACTTGATACTTTCTCTTTCAACACAATAATAGCTTTAAATAATCTTTTGTGGGTATTTTCACAGCCAAATTTATTTAGTGATTAGTTCGATTAATTAATCGCTGCACCAATTTTAGTAACACTTTATTTTAGTGTCCTTGTTACACGTTACTTGTACTTCCTATTATAATAACAATAAATTATGCATAATTACATGCAAGTAACCCTAAGCCAAACCCTAATCCTAACCATATAGTAAGCACATGTGCTTAATTAATATTACTCTGTACTTAAATGTATAATTACACTGTAACAGGGACACCTCAAAGTGTAACCAAAATTTTACTTGACTGACAGCCCTGAATGGAATAAAATAAAGCACAACATATAACAACAGTATATAATAAAACAGAACAGTTTTATCTAGTTTGTAGTTAGGTCATCTATCTTTCTTATGAATTTTAATTAATCTTCCAATGAAATTACTGGGATCAATTTTGGCCCCCAAAAAAACACACACTTAGAGAGGAAGAAACCATTTGACTGTCATGTGAAGTGACCAATCTCATTTTGTTTTACATGACAACTAGGGGAGGTACATTGTTTTAATTTTAGAGGTCCGATCCAATCAGAATAAAGCTAGTCGTTTTAAGTATGTTTGGTCCTTTTGGTTTGTACCATGCATCAGATGATCTGTGAATCACATGGTCTCCTCTCACCTGTGTCTGAACCCCACTGCAGCTGTCTCACTCCTCTCTTCACCAGAGGAAGCTGCCAGCCCATAGTGTCCGCCAGCTCCACCACGTCAAACTCCAGAGTGTCACATGACTCCACGCGCTCCCCTGCCATGCGTTTGCGCGCCAGAGCCACAGCGACTGGAGGACACCTGACGACATGCAAAATGACACAATCAGCACTGATGAGCTTCTAGAAGCATCGGAAGCTACTTGGTCACACTGTGAAAGAGTAACGTACAGTTTGGTGATTTTGCGGAGTTGTTGCGGACCGCCGTAAAACTGCAGCTTACAGATGGAGAGCGTCGGATGAAGAAGCTCCACCCACTGCTGAGGATGAAGCTCCAGGTAACACAACAGGGTCTCCAGACCTAAAACACAGAGAATTTAGATTTAGCGTAAAACAGAACTTAATCTGAGAAGATAGCTATAGTTCAAGCCAGACTTATCATGAACTAAAACTAAAAATATTACATTTAAAAATCAGGTTGACTGAAATAAAATAAAATAAAAGACAAATTTAGCTTTTTAAAATTTGATTTAATTTAAGCTAAAATTCTACAATTATTCAAAAACGGAAATAAAAATGTCTAAGAACTAATTAAACATCTAAAAAATCAACTAAAACTAAAATCAGTGTTATATTAGTTATCTCTGAGATACTGTTATAGTTATTAATATTTAGAATCTGTTTTTATTTTCCATTTTCATTTTAGTTCTAGTAATTGTGTTGTACATTTTTGTCATTTTCAGGAGTTTGTTTCTTTTATACATATGCAGTTTTTACGTTAAACTGAGATTTTTGTTTATTTTATTCCAAGTAAACAATTTTTTGCAATGGTTTTGACTTCAGTTCCAGTTTTAGGATAACCCTGATTTAAAAAAATTATTAATAAATATTACAATAGTATAGTAATCTATACCAGGGGTGGTGAACTCCAGTCCTGGAGAGCCGCAG